GCGGCGGGGCTCCGCTCCGCCTGTGGCGGGGTGTGACGGGGGGAGGAGCAGGCGAGAGGGAGCGGGGACGCGCCGCTATCACAGGTCTGGACTCTTCCAAGCCGCGTGCGCCTGGCCCTGCGTCGCGGGCTGGGACCTGCCGCCCAGAGCCTGGCCCCAGTGCGGCTGCCCAGCCTGGGATGCAACGGGGCAGGGCTGCAGGGAGCCTATTTGAAACCCTAGGGGTTTGGCCCCCACACTTAGCAGAGCCCCTCCCCCAGCCTTGCAGGAGGGACAACTAGACCCAGAGTCCAATTAATGTCGCGGGACAAATAATGACAAAAAAGGGTCAGGGGGTGCGGGTCAAGGTTTAAAACAAGGGAACCGGAGGGGGACAGCAGTAGAGCACCCCGGGCAGCGCCCATTGCTCCTCAAAGCTGTTGATGGAGCCAGTGGATGCTGCCCAGAGGAACTCTGCCCTGATATCTGGCACTAGGGAGGAAGGGCAGTAGCAGAGCACCGCCTTGTCTAGCATCCTCCTCCTGGTATTGCACATTGAGGCTTTCACCAGGGGCAGGAACAGGTTGACAAGAAGGTCTCACAACTTAGTGGGGCCACCACTAGGGTGTGCATAAATAAAGAGGTGTGGGGAAAAGTGCAGCCAGATCCTCAGTAAGAGGTTATGGAGGAGCCAGAATATGGGCTGCAAGCTGGCGCATTCTAGGTATGTGTGCGCTAGGTTATCCCTCACGCTGCAGAAAGGAGAGGCGGCTGGGATAAGGGTGAACCACACCAGGTAAACGCCCGTGCTCATGGCTCCGTGAAGGAGCCGCCAACTGATGTTTCCGATGGGCCGTGGGATTAAGGTGGAATAAACACTGGCCCATCGGGGTTCCTCACCCTCAATTGGTCTTAGATAGTCCCCGCCACTTGGTGTTGGGGCGGGACACTGGAGTGAGGACATGCAGCACATGGAGCATGAGTATGTATAGAAGGTCCCTAGGCAGGGTTTGAAAACAGACTGGCTGCAAATCTGGAAGCAAACTGGGAGTCCAGGGGTCGGGAAGCTAGGGGGGGCTCCCCGAGAACAGGGGCCCAAGAAAAAGGGCCAGAGGGCTTGCAGTGAGGGGCGGGGTAGGGTGTGCCCTCTGGCAGGGCTTGTTACAGGAAATCTGGAGAGGGCTGTGACAAAGCAGCCTTCACTTCTTGGAGTGCAGGGGAGCCCCATGCACTGAGCGAGTGCTCAGGGATCCAACCAGTCCCCCCTATCGTAGTCCAGGAGGTCTCCGACCTTGGTGGTTTCTGCCAGGATCAGCCTCTAGTGCGCTGAGGGAGACTCTGCCATCTGCACATACAAGGCTGGATTGCGGAGCAGGGGCTCACAAGGAGGTCTGTTCCTTCGATGGCTGTAGGGTAAACTGAGGCAGTCCATGGTATTTCACTAAGAACCTCTGTTCAATCCTAAATTTGAGACAGGCCTGTAACTTAATAGCATGGATAGTTAGCCTGAGTAGAGGGACCTTGGTAAGGCACAGTCACCCTGGCAACCACATTCCAAGGGGCCGCACCAACTCATACCAACACAACCTTGCTAATATGTTTTGCTTTAATCCTAGATAATGGGTCCATAAACTCATGGATCACATCAGCACGAGACGCCAGTAACCCCTTCACAAACGCATCATAATTTAACTAGACAAAAGTTGCCATTTAATTGTCTGTTGATGTTGGCTTATTTAGTTTATGGAAACTATTTATATTAGAGATAAGGAGTTTGTTTAGCAATGGGCGGAGATGCTGTGTAACCTTTGTAGTTTATTGGCTAACATGCTCATTTCGTCTTGCCTCCAGACCCTATCAAATTGCTTCTCCTCTGTCCATCTGCCGCCTATATAATCTACTGTAATGTTTTGCTTAACCAGTGTTCACCAGGTTAACCCCTGGTTGTCACTCCGCCAGCGCTGAGTGTGTAATAAATCCTCTGACTTTTTTTCACCTGCATCCAGAGTGTCCAGAATTATTCCCTACAATGGTCACAATGGACCTGGTTGCCGAGAACAGCTTCCAAGTCTGGAGGAGTTCCTGGTAGATATCTAGCAGCTCTGAGAGGTCTTGCAGAAGACCCCTCGGGTGGAGAAAAAAGAACCAGCGTAAAGTACCCCGCTATCCTGGCAGCAAAGCCCCAGAGCCCAGTGGGGTGAGGCGGTGTCTCTTACTGCACGCTAGTCTGTTGGCATGGAGAGATAGACACGTTTCCTGGGGCAGTCTCAAAATCTCTGGCCAACAAAGGCAGGCGCCTTTTCCAGGCCTGGCAAGTGTCTCTCTCACTGACATCGTGGGTCCAATAAAAGACCTCTCCCCCACATAACCTGGGACTTTCAGGCTATGTCTAAGCTACATCACTCTTTCAAAAGAGGGATGAAAATTAGACAGATACAAATTGCAAATGAAGCCTGGATTTGAATTTCCCGTGCTTCATTTGCATAATGGCGGTAGTCTTTCGAAAAAGGGCTTTTTGAAAGTAAAATCGATGTCTAGATGTGGTTCTTTCAGGGAAAAAAAAACCCTTTTTTGAAAGATCCTGTACTCCTCAAAAAAATGAGCCCCATGTTAACCCAAACTGCAACAGCGGGCCGCAAACAAACGGGCCACATGTTGAATAGCCCTGGTATATATGTATATATGCATATGTCTGTCTTTAAATCAATAGTTAATTTACATGCAGCATCTGGAATTACATAAAGATGTATTTCAATATTGTATACACTAGGCATATGGTCTTTACTATTGTATTATATGCTTACTTTTAATTACAGCCTCTCCCAGAGTAATGAACAAGTTACGGGCCAAACACTTGGCTGTAACTCGATCTGTTCATAACTCGGACCCCATTGAGTTACATAGCGACCGTAACTCGACCGTTGCAACTCGGGGACTGGCTGTATGTATTCAGTAGTGTAGATTCTACTAAAGACTTGTTCAAACCGGGATACTGTGGGTAATTGAGTATACAAGAATAGGTTGTTTGCTGAGGAGAGAACTGCAAAAAATTCAAAGAATAAACAGCAATGAATATACAGAAAGGAAATACACATTTTTGGTCAGCATATCGCAGACCCCACAGAGAATGGGTAGATGATATAGTAGATTGGTGCGGAGCTAGTCTACAGAAGCTAAGCCACTCCGCACTAGAGAGGGAAAGATGGAAGGAAATAGGGAGGCATTGGACACCAACAAGTAAAGAGCCCATGGTTATTGATGATGATGATGATGATGATATCATAATCCTAACAAGAAAGATATCTGAACTGTCCTTGGCTGCTGCTGTGGCCCTCCAAATAGCTAGGGTATGTTTTGGTGATTAGATTTTTTTTTAATGATCTATTTAGAGGAATAAATGGGAGAAAGGGCAAGAGCAACTGTTTCAATGAACAGAAATATTGTCTTTGTACATAA